TATAACACGTTCACGCTGCTTCCTGTATCTACCAGCACCCGGCGAATCAAAGCATTGTCTATGCACATGCTTATCACCAACTCGTCCCTGTGCGGACTTGGTGAGTTGGGCAAGTGTGGAGGCCCAAATGTGATTGGGTCCATCCTTCCTTTCTTCTGGGGTGGCGTGGCTACAGAGCCTACGTACAAGCTTCGTTCGAACTTCTTCCGTTCGGCGTTCGAGTCACCTGTCTCCCCACCTCCAAATATAACCTTCACCTCCATTCTGGGTTTTTTACCCGGGTTCCCCGAACCTTCTAGTTCATCTCTGGGAGGATTACACACATCATTTCTGGGGTGAGCATCACGCTGAGCATCCCGTCTCCAACTGTTTGGTCTTTTAACCGGCTTCAGAATGCCTGTAGCGTTCAGGTCTGTATTTACATATTTACCCAGATGACCCCTCTGGATCAATTTCTCAATTGCTATTTGTAATGCCCGACATGATTGGGTGGAGTGACCGTTACTGTTGTGGTACTTGCAAAAAGCATTCTCATGTGCCCCCATGTAATTTTTGGTGTCAGTCGGGGGGGGGGGGGGGGGGGGATGTTGTCCTTCTCATTCTGATAGATGGTCGGAATAGATAGGACCAAAGGGGTGAATCGCCCTGCTTTTGGAGGAGGAGCGGCCGCTGGGATATGACCCAGCCGATCGGCCAGTTTTATTGGGGTAGGAGGAGCCGCTACCTTATCCCTGATCATGATCTCTTCCTCCAGAGCCGCATGCTTTCTGGATCTTTCCAGCACTTCAGAATACATTGTGCCTGGATTCTTCTTTAGATCCTTATACAGTTCACCCGTTCGGAGAGCGTTAGTAAACAGAGTGATGGCTGTATCATCCGTCATACTCCCGACTTTCAGGGTTTCATCCCTCCATATTTTCAGGAATTGGTTTAGGGTCTCCTTTGGGCCCTGCCTGACACTGGTCAGGTAACTGAAATGCCGTTTTGGGGTGGCACTGGAGGCAAACTGGGCCAGGAACAAAGATGACAGTTCGGCAAAGCTGCCGATCGATCCGGGCTGCAGGCTTCCGAACCATTCCTAGACAGGTCCCGTGAGCGTGCTGAAGAAGAGTCGACAAATGGCCGCCTCTGATGCTCCCAATAGCATGAGACCCCCTTGGTAACTCCTCAAATGTCCATGGGGATCTCCCGCCCCGTCATATATCTGACCGGTCAGCGGTTTAGCATCCCTGTGGATCTCCGCTTGCATTATTTCCCGGGTAAAGGAGGAAGTGATCTCGACCCGCACTGGAGGAGGTTGCAGAGGTGTTCTGTTCATTTGGTCCCGCATTTGGTTCATCCGCCTCCTCATTTTGGCCATCTCATCCTCCTGGGCCGTTAGGGGAGGTGGTGGTGGAGTTCCCAAGTTGACAAACTCTCGATTTCCTTCCGGCGGAGTTGTTCTCTGATTCTGACGTCTTTGCCTGAATCGCGAATTATTACGTTCTCCAAACTAGAAATGGCGACCAACAGACGTATCTCCTCTGGCCCGTGACCCGGTCGGGGTGTGGTCACTAGGAGTGTGATGCCTGCCCCCGAATGCATGAGCCCTTCTATGCTCTCCCCGATGGGCCCGTGAATGATTTGATGCCGTGGTTGTTTCTGCATCGGTGGTATCGTCATCAAATGACTGCATCGTAGATGGAGTTGTGTACCTGGTTTCCCCTGTATAGCTGGATCGCCCCCCATCCTGCTCATCCGCCAGGTGTTGCATGACCTGGGCTAAATCTCGCATAGCATGGGGATTCCTCCTCAGTGCTTCGGGGATGAAGAAATCCCCATCAAAGTGCGGGTAGGATCCCCGGTTGGATTGCCCTTGGGGAGTCCGGCTTTCCCCGCGCCTTCCTGAAGTGTCACCGGTGTGATGAGAAGTGATTCTAACCATTTTGGAATTAGTTTGATGTTTTGGTGTGAATTTTTTTGTTCAGTTTCCCACAGATGGCGCCAATGTTGAGGTTTAGTCCCGCAGATCCGAAAGCCCAACACGAACTTTGGATATATCAGGAAATGGACCAAGAATTGAGTGTATAAAAGAAATATAAAAGATGAATAATTGAATACTCAAAAGCCCACTTGTATTAATTAATTTGACGATTACACAGTAAACTTCCCGAACGGTGCGTTGGAATAGTGACTAATACAAGAACTAAGAGAGATAAATCTATTCTAGGCTTTGAATATCGAGAAGCTAACCCCCTCCGTGTTGGGATATTGGGCCGCAGGCCCAATACCCGGATCCAAGGCCCAAGATATCCAGTCCGATAGACGGGCCCATAATCCAGAAGATGAACAGGCTAGAAATATTTATCTAGCCACTTGGAACCCATCGTAAAGGGTTAGCTTCTCGATATTCAAAGTCTAGAATAGATTTATATCTCTTAGTTCTTGTATTAGTCACTATTCCAACGCACCGTTCGGGAAGTTTACTATGTAATCGTCAAATTAATTAATACAAGTGGGCTTTTGAGTATTCAATTATTCATCTTTTATACACTCTGTTGGGATATTGGGCCGCATGCCCAATACCCGGATCCAAGGCCCAAGATATCCAGTCCGTTAGATGGGCCCATCATCCAGAAAATGAACCAGTTCTTGGGAAAATATGTACCGAACGAGGTTTGGATCAATTAACATACTTGGGCCAGATCATTAATGGGCCAGATCAACGATGACTCCAGATCAATGTACCAAACGAGGTTCGGTCTAATCAACGGACTTGAGCCAAATCAATGAAGATTCCAGTAGGGTCCTCTGCCCGTTCGGGCAGCGGGTAGCCAACAAGTGGCAGGGAGCATTTATTGCTAAAGTATGACAACAGTTAGTGGGAGCATGGGTTCCAAGTGGCTAGATAAAGCCACCAATCAACATGAAGTACCCCATACCCCCCATTAGTATAAATAGAAGGATTAGTTTCATTGTAAAGGGTTATCATTTTCATACTCAAGCCTAGAATAACATTCTCTCTCTGATTTCTTGTATTAGTTATTATTCCGACATACCGTTCGGGTAGTTTACCGTGTAATAGCCAAATTACTTAGTACAAGTGGGCTTTTGAGTATTCGTTGATCTCATCTTTTATATTTCTTTTATGCACTGAATTATCGTTTCATTTCCTGATATATCCAAAGTTTGTGTTGGACTTTCGGATCTACGGGATTAAATTTCGACATTGGCGCCGTCTGTGGGAAACTCTGAACAAAAAGTTTCACACCAAACAAAAGCTATTTTCAAAATGGTTAGAATTACTTCTCATCACACCGGAGAAACCTCGGGTAGACATGGGTAAAGCCGGACCCCCCAAGGGCAATCCAGCCGGGGATCCTACCCACACTTTAATGGGGATTTTTTCATCCCCGAAGCATTAAGAAGGAACCCCCATGCCATGCGAGATTTGGCTCAGGTCATGCAACAAATGGCGGATGAGCAGGATGGGGGACAATCCAGCTACAGTGGGGAAACTAGGTACACAACCCCATCATTCGATGATTATACCTCCGATGCAGAAACAACCACGACATCGAATCATTCACGAGCCCACCGGGGAGAGCACAGAAGAACTCACGTGGACAGGGGCAGGCATCACGCTCCTAGTGACCGCACCCTGACCGGGGCACGGGCCAGAGGAGATACGCCCGTGGTCGCCATTTCCAGTTTGGAGAACGTGACAATACGCGATTCGGGCAGAGACGTTAGAATCAGGGCATGGGGAATCAGCAAACTCTGGATCCCGATCGCCATTCGACAGGTAACTTCTACTTCCCAATGCACTCACTACCGTTCGAGACATCAGAAGTGGGGGACTCGTGTTGGGATATTGGGCCGCAGGCCCAATACCCGGATCCAAGGCCCAAGATATCCAGTCCGTTAGACGGGCCCATCATCCAGAAAATGAACTAGCTCTTGGGAAAATATGTACCGAACGAGGTTCGGGTCAATTAACATACTTGGGCCAGATCATTAATGGGCCAGATCAATGATGATTCCAGATCAATGTACCGAACGAGGTTCGGTCTAATCAACGGACTTGGGCTAGATCAATGAAGATTCCAACAGGGTCCTCTGCCCGTTCGGGCAGCGGGTAGCCAACAAGTGGCAAGGAGCATTTATTGCTAAAGTATGACGACAACTAGTGGGAGCATGAGTTCCAAGTGGCTAGATAAAGCAACCAATCAACATGAAGTACCCCATACCCCCATTAGTATAAATAGAAGGATTAGTTTCATTGTAAAGGGTTAACATTTTCATACTCAAGCCTAGAATAGCATTATCTCTTTGATTTCTTGTATTAGTTATTATTCCGACATACCGTTCGGGTAGTTTACCGTGTAATAGCCAAATTACTTAGTACAAGTGGGCTTTTGAGTATTCGTTGATCTCATCTTTTATATTTCTTTTATACACTGAATTATCGTTCCATTTCCTGATATATCCAAAGTTTGTGTTGGGCTTTCGGATCTACGGGATTAAACTTCAACACACTCGATTCTTGATCCATTTCCTGATATATCCAAAGTTCGTGTTGGGCTTTCGGATCTGCGGGACTAAACCTCAACATAGTTTAAAGACGCAAATGATAGATTTAATAGTTCGAAGATCAAAATGATACGGTGACGATAGTTCAAGACTATTAATACAGTTTACTTAAATATATGATTCATCAAAGGGAAAACTGTCAATTTGATTCTCGTACTCTCACAAAAAAGTCAATTAGGTCCTCATATTTAAAAAAAACAATCATATTCCCGAACTTTGAGAAAACGTTCAATTGGAGCTGAGATTTTGGAACCGGAAACCGAAAAAATGACCGGAACCGAACCGTTATAATTCGATTCGGTTCCTATTTTTGATGTTAAAAATAATCGGTTCGGTTCCTACTATACAATATCGGTTGGGTTTCCGATTTGTTATAAAAATGTTGCTCTAGAACCCGTAAAGAACGGATAGTTAATTCTTAGTACAAACTAGTGGGTTATGTGGTTATCCCACTTATCCAAACACCGTAATTCCGCAGTACGTAGTATTACTTTAAATTACACATCACAGCCTTAAGCCCACTAGCCCAATTTTAGTCCTCTTCAGTTCTTCAAAGTTACGGCTCGAATGCGATAACCCTAGCCCTTCGATCATTTGCGACGCTGGTCTTTCAACTTCCTTCGGTCCTTCCTCTGATTTTGCATGGCTTCCTCATAGGAGAGGTCAAGGTACGCTTCTCTTGCTAGCTCTCTGTATTTCTTTAATTTGAACTCTTGAACCTCCTGGTAAAACCATCGAAATTTCTAATGGTCTTGCCTTCTTGTTCTGGTCAGTGGCTTTCCCATCCGCACCGAGACTTCTATCAAGAAAAAAGCTCCAACTCGTGTTGCCTATCTTGCTCCGGTGCTGCCTTCGAGTGTCTACTAGCCCTCCCGTGGTGAGTCTTATTTATCTTCCAATATAAGTTAATTAGTCCTCACGATATTTAGGACTACAATAGTAGTTAATTTTGTTTAATCATGGCGAGTCTTATTTACTCATATAGTTTAATCAGTTCTAAATATCGCGGTGAGTCTTATTTATTCATATAGTTTAATCATTTCAATTAGTTTAATCATTCCTAAAAATCGCTATTTAGGACTACAATAGTAGTTAATTATTGGAATATTAAGATCGTGAGGAGTGATTATATATTAAGTTTAATTATTGGAAGTCTTTGTTACTACTAAAGTAGTTACTAGATAAGAATCTAATCAATTTACTTGGCCGATTGTTTTTTATCGAATATATCAGTTTTGAATATATTACATAGTTTAGCAATGAATGGTTTTAAAGAGTCGCCGTAGGTTTTATTGATGATTAAAATGGAGAAAAAATGACATCTTGTGTATGAGCACACTATGACTAAGAAACTAAACCTATGATGAAAGAGGATGAAAATGGAGTAGAGGTACTTGGCCACATCGAAATATCTACTTTCAAGTATTGCTCTACCCAAATTACTTCCGATTTAACAAAAAATGGGACTAGCACACTGCAGAAGCATTTAAAGCAACATATGAACTAGCATGTAAGTATGTTCTCATAAAAGGAAACTGTTGTTGCGACTTTTATTTATTATTATTGTAAACATAATGTCAATTCACAGTAATTTTTCCAGATTTGAATTGCTTGAAGCTGGACATCAATTCTTGTTACATTGGGCATCTCCAACACCCTTGTTGCTCTATTAATATCTTATTATTAGGATGTATACTAGTTGTGCATTGAATGAATTGAATTTTTTGTTGTGTCTTTAGTTTTAAATATTTGAACATTGATGTTTCATATGATTGTAACACTAAACTTCATGTATTATTGAAGATTTAATTATATGTTTGGGAACCGATAATAAGCAAGAACCGAACCGTTAAGATTTGATTCAGTTCCTTAACGGTTTTACATTTTTTTATTAGAACCGAACCGATTTTAAGATTTATATATTTCTTAATGGTTCCACCAATTTTGAATAAGAACCGAACCGGTCCCAGGCCTATGTTCAATTGAGTGAATTAGCAGGTTACCCGCCATGTCAACTAACGTGGTGCACACGTGACGGTCCATGTGTACGCCACATCACCGGTAAATGACTGACTAGGCTTCCACGTGTGCGTAACATCATCAAAGTAATTGCTGAATAGGCTGCCACTTGTGTGCCAGGTCAGAATGTGACTTGCTGACATGACGAGTAACTTCCTAATGGACTTAATTGAACGCTTTTACAAATGTCAGGGATTTGATTGATTAATTTAAATGAACCAGAACTTAATTGACTTTTTAGTGAGAGACTAAATTGACATTTTTTGCTTTCACAAAAGGAATTGAGTCTGAGCTCCAGAATCGGAACATAGCTCTCTTTACGCCCGAGTCGGTAGCAGATTAACAAGTCAATCCATCAGTGAAGCTATGGCGGATCCTTTCTCCTTCCTGGGCAGCTACACCACGTTCCTCAAGCGCGACAATCCTCTTCCTTCGTGGACCGACGCCGATGTGGAGGAGTTCATTTCATCTGACGCCGTTCACGGACCCGCGGTATCGTCTTTGCTATGTCCGCAGATATCCGCTTCCTTTCCGCACTGTTTTTTCATTTTATGACGTGTTTTTCTATCTGAGTGGTAGCTTGCTTTTCTTGCCTCGCAACTGGTGGTTTTAATGATTTGATATGCCAGAAAACTGAATGGTGATATAGCATCTGGAAGCCATCTCTAAATCTATGTAGTTAACTCGCTACTCGGTAGTAACTCGGTCAAGGACCTAGTAGTGAGTAGGGCCGATTACTCGGGACTACTCCGTTATTACTCGGCCTTGTATTAATTAGATTTAATAACATAAGTGTGCGAGATCATAGAAATATAATATTCTTAAAAATGTTAAAATTATCTTAAAATGCATACAAATGAATAAAGTGATAAGAAATGCTAATGATGGAGTAGCAAAAGTCATAAACATTCTAAGTCTTCAAGAAAATCAATCATCTAATAATATGGTAATATCTCTGTTCTCTCCCCATGTCCATCCTATGTCATCTGATTTTCTCTAAGTGTAGTATTAGCATATTCAGCACCATTAGAAGCCTCAACAAACTAAGCAGAGTTCATGACTGTCAATTAGATGATGTGTGGCAGTGTGTATCAATCAATGATGTGCCATAGTAAACAATCAATCTAGTGATATTAATTAAAAGTTACGTAGTATAATATATAGTATAGTAGTGAAAAGAATTTATTTATATCAAAATATATGTGTGTATCAATATTAAACAATCAAGATGGTGATTTTTTAAGAATGTTGAAAAGAACATATGGCGAAGAAGGATGGGAGGGTGAAAGAAGAAGAAACGAGAGAGGGGAGAAGGGAAGACACGAGAAAGAAGATGACAACTTATTGAGAAACCGTAGTCACATCTCTAGGGGGATAGTAGATGTCAGAAACTCCGTTTAACCTAGGTTTTGTAACTTAATTTTTCAATTTTATAAGGGGGAACCGAGTTAGACCGAGTACTCGCCGAGTTGAGAAACTCGTCGAGTACGAGTAACTCGGAAATAAAACACGGACTGAGTTAGGTAGCTACTCGACAAGGCCAATACCCGAGTTGCGAGTACTCGCCGAGTACTCAACGAGTAGATAACCCAGCTCTAAATAGTTGTGATTATGACTCGGTTGAGTTCATATACATGAAGGCTTTCTTCTAAACAGGGCCGCTCTATATTTGAATATTGATTTCCTTTTTCCCCTTTTTAATTAAATTTTTCCACTAATGATATCAGTAATCAAAGGAAACAAATCAAAATCCTCTTATCTCAGTTTGAGAATTTTGTTTTATGTATTCAAACTGTATTGCATATCTTTTTCCCTTACTGTGAAATTTTCACATTTTAAAGGGGTGAGTCATCCTGTTTCTGTTTTTCTCTCATCTGTCAGTATAGTTAGTACGTAGTATTTTTCTAGAAACCTGTAATCCCTCTAATTTAGTAGTGCCTATAAAAATTGGAAAAATATTGAGCTAACGGTATGTCAACTTTCCAGTTGAAGTCTGCTCGAGAAGTGGCTCAATTTGGTGCTATAGGAAGCATAGTTGGAGGTGTTACAACTGCAGGGTGGGCTTGGAAGTACTCTAAGAGCCCCCATGGTATTTCATCTCGTTAAAAATGCTTATATGGTGCATCATTGTGACTGTCTTCTAACTATTGAATGTGAGAATTTGTAACTTTGATAGGGAAGGGATTGATCAAACAAACTATAAATGAAATTTCATCATATTACCCGTTACAAAAAGATTAGGAATTTATCTTTATCTTCCCACCACTCTCTTGAGAAATGCACCAGACCCACCAGTGTTATGTATTTCGCATAAGATAAACTGCCTAAAAACTTTCACTGGGTCTGCGGTAAATGAAGGCTGCATGTGTTCGTTCCAGAGAAGGGATGATGATGATGATCCATGGTGTTTGCCAATTTCCCTGAAACATAATGAATACCAGGGAGGAATGGTGATGTGTTTTCATAGAGGCATGAGAGTAAAATCATAGCATACAATTTGGTTATGTAACAAAGAATAGACAATCCTTTAAGAAATTGGGAGAACTACCAAATAAGCCCTCGAACTTACATAAAAAGTGAAAATCACCTCTTTTATAGGAGGCTCTGTCCGTCCGTCTCCATTTGGGGCGGTTCCCGGTGGAATTTTTTTATGAAATTTTTTGAGCATCTTATTCATTAAGTCTAGTTTACTCATACCAAATTTCATCTAAAAATTCAATTGGGAAGGCAGTCAAATGAATTTTTGAAGATAACCGCGCAGTTAGACAGCGCAGTATATTTCAGAAAATCATTTGACTGCTTTTTCGGTTGACCATCCTTAGTGCATAACTGATGGATGGATGGATGGATGGATGGATGGATGGGTGGATGTGTGGATGGGTGGCTGGGTATGGATGGATGGATGGATGGATTTTCCTTCCACACATTAGTCATGTCATCGTTCCAAACTCCTCCCAGATACAAGGAAGATGCTACTCGATGCAATACTCGTGTAATCTACGCCGGCTCATTTTCATCCTTAGCTTTTTGCATTTTTTTGATTTGTTTCTTATTTCCAATACTATTTTTTTCAATAATTAATATATATACACATATATATAATAAAAATAAAAAACCTGTAAGGGCCCAGGCCCCCCAAACCACTTAATAGTTCCGCCTCTGACCCCTACTATTCTTTCCTTAATATTGTGCCAAACCCTGCTGTGGAGAACAATAGAATACAGAGGGATTATATGTTAATTCTACTTCGGGATAGTAAATAATTATTGGTTCTTATGTATTGGCTCTCTCAAATTCTTGGCAGTATCTTTATGAATTTTATTTTATTTTATCTTGGAGACTGTAAACTTCCTAGTGTCCCAACATATGCTGGTAGTGAGTGCATTTCTATTCATGTCTTGCTAAGCAAAGAAATTTGAGGGAGTTAGCTGCATTCCTTTTTTGTAATCAACTTTGAGACAAGCTGCCTAGTTGATGGGTAGCATAGAAACTAAAGAGAGAGACTTTAAGGATTAAGCATTTTAATAGTGAGGTTCCTAAAGTTTCTTGTTAGGATTTTGTTTGGTAAATGAAGAATGTTAAGGAAATGATTAAAGCGTAGGGGGCATTTGGAAGAGGTAATCACAGTACATTGTGTGGTTCAGGTTTTCATATTAGCTCCCGGGCAGGCAAGGGAGGTAACATTTGGGTTTGGTATTATTAGTATTAATCACACAATGTACTGTGATTACCTCGAGTTTCTTAGGTATTGCATATTCTAGTATATTATGACTGTGTCTCTAGGGATAAAGGACTTTGGGTTGGGTATTATTAGTATTTTTTTTGTTCTCTTCGCTTTCTTCTCTTCACTTTGTTTTATTCTTTTTTTTCTTTTCCCTTTTGTACTCTTTTGGCTTCTTTTAATAAAATTCCTTTTTTTGAAAAAAAAAATTAATTACAAAAATAATATCACCTATCTGTAAACCATACAACTCAATATAGTTGTAACCCCCATAGTTGGCTAGTGCACCTTTGTTGGATGCATTTGAATTCTTAGACAGACATAATGGAAGTCAACGTGATAAAGACCTTATGCTTACACTTGCTGAAACATACAATTACTTTCAATTGATTCCACATTTGTGTGAGTTAGTTTTTAGCACAATGTGAATTGAGATGAGCTCAAACAAATGGTGCAGGTGCTTTACTGTCTCTTGGATTTGGTGCCATGTGTGGTTGGACGTTTGGGCATGAATTTGGAAGCCACTGGCTGCAGCTTTACAGGTATAACACTGTGGATGCACAAGCTAAGTTCTTGGAGTGGTGGCAGAATAAAGCTGGAGGGCAATCTTAAATTTTACCACTAGTGGGTTTTTCCTCTCCTATCAATAATAAGATTCATTTTTTGTGATTGGGTTCCATGATGTGGTTTTGGAAGCTTTTGGAGCCGCAAAGTTGGATTAAATTTATAATGTGTGAATTGGACTGCTGCTGCTATTACGTGTGTATTTTTTTTCTTTGGATCTGCCAAATGAAGTTTTCCCGCTTTAACTATTACCATATTTAGTTTCTTGTATAATCCAGGTGTCAGGGCTTATCATCATCATTTACCACAATGCTTCAAAGTCTCACCTATGGTGGGGTAAGGGGGTCGGATGTACGCAGTCTTACCCCTTCACTAAAGCACAGAGATTGTTTCCGGATGACCCATGGTGAAAATCACGTCCAAAATTGCATGAATTGGCTGCTGCTTGATAACAAAGAAGCGCAGACAGTTTAGTGAGCTACTTTGTTTTATTTCATCATATTCTCAAGCCAAAAAATAGTGAATCTTTGGCTTCATTGCAAATGATGGAGAAGTGTCGGGGCTTATACTATTCTCATAATCTTGGAGCCTATGAACTACCCTCCAAAGTCGTTAGACAGGTAAATCCGGATATGATCACAACCAGATTCGTCGGTACTGGCTTCAAAGGGATGAATCCAACACGAATTACATCACTTGTCCCTTCTAGGTTTCTCCTTCCACCACATGAATCTGTTACTTCATTCAAGAACAAGAAAATGTCATCGTAAATTGAATTTAAACTCCATGAAACAATGCATCAAATAAAAGTTGACTCAATATGTTGAGTTGTCATTACCTTTCTACTTTCATTATCGTCCTCTTCCTCCTTAGTTGTTGAATTACTTTGTGAAGGTAAGGAGAATTATGGAGAGCAAGATCTCTCTCATCTCTTCCAAGTGAGAATGGAACCCAAGACTTTGAGATGAGTGTCACCCAAGTGAGCCCCACCATCCTTCCTACCATATTTAGATTCAGTCACATGTAAAAGGTATGTATGCATATATGATATATCATGTATGTGTGACATTGTAAATTGTAATTGCACAATGCATTGCATATGGTGTTGGGAGTGTGGCATACACAATATTGCATACCCAATAAGGCGTTGAGTGACGTGTGCAATTAGGGATGGACTCGGGCCGGGTGGCCCGACCCGGAACCGGCCCGGGACCGGCACTGTTCCGGCCCGGCCCGACCCGGTGGCCCGGTCAGTGACCGGTCCGGGTAGGCCCGGCCCGTGGGTTTTCCGGTCCGGGCTCGGGTCACCCAAAACAAGGCCTGGGCCCGGTTCGGGCCAATTTTTTTTTTCAATTTTTTTTAACTTTTCGGGTTGGGCTAGGTATTTTGGGCCATTTGGGGTGGTTTGGGGGGTTGGGGGTGGGAGGGGGGTTAATTAGGAAGAGGAAAACAAAAAAAAAATATATATATATATAATGGGCCCGGCTTGGCCCGGCCCGACCCGACCCGGCCCGGACCCGGTGGTTACCCGGGCCGGTCCCGGGTCCACCATTTCTGACCCGCCGGCCCGCTCGGGCCTAGGCCCGACCCGGACCCGGCCCGGACCCGAGTCCAACCCTATGTGCAATAGGAGTTCAAGGTTTAAGGGTATTATTTGAACTCACTTGACCCACTTCTTAACTTATAATTAACATATTTTGCGTTTATGATCCCTATTTCAAACTACTAGATAGTGATGATTTGATTTTGCTGCCATCAATCTAATAATCTTGAAATTTTAATATGTTTTGGAATTTTGTTATGATAACAAATTCAAGAATGCTTGCTATCTTGGGGTACTTTGAACATTTTACTTTGCAAGTATTATGTTCTCATTATAATTTGTTTTAATATGGCATTTGATAACTTTCGGTGAGTGAGTTATTTTATTTTTATTGTGTTTGTGTGTCGATGTCTGGCATACGCCTCATTACATAATGAGATTCACGCAATATACAAATTTTAAAAACACCATGACCACGCAATTTTAAACCTTGCGGTGTGCACAGAGGCATGTATATTCTCAATATGAGAGTCCAGGAATTGTTAAGATCACACAAAACAACAATAAAAAATATTACCATGCAGGCATGCAACCATAATTAAGTGAATAGTTATAATTAAATAGGTGATGCTGCTGGGGATTTTCATGGAATGGATACAGGTTGTTCTTTCGTGTGTCCACATCTGAATAATGATGGATGGTTTCATATAACCTATTAACCTCACATGCTTATTCTTCCTTCTGTCACACGCTTTCTTTCCACACGAGCGCATCTATCAATAGGTTTATTATGCATAACAAAGTAAATAATTTAGCATCATAAGACAATATTATTATTCTATTGAATCCTCTGTTTACAAGTTATTTACCATTAGTATTTATAGGCGTAGTTTCATACTGCAATTGCAATTAGGAGACATAACCGATGTAATTAATGATTCTTAATCATAATTGATTCTTAATCATAATAGAACCCATCTAACGTTCATCCCGTAACCTTCATATTAATGTCTCCTTGATGCCTACGTCTCCTCAAGTGATTTCTGTCATTGCCAGTTATCAATCACAGATCTGATGCCATGTAAACCCTATGTAGAGTTTGACCTCCACGGAATTCCCACTGGGCCTAATGCTACGTAAACCCTATAAGGGAAAAAAATGAAAAGATCAAGAACACGAAAAAGATAAAAAAGTTAAAAAGATAAAATTGATGAAAAGATATCAATGCTTCATATGAATATTCTTCATTCATTCTGCTCACTCGAAAGTTACTCTCTCATCCAACATAAGAAGAACTATGTAATAGATGTTATAACTGAGATGAGTTGAGAGGTGTGAAGAGGTGGTGAAGATGGGAGGAAGAGGGAGAGGAAGATCCCAAAAAACGAGCATTAACTTTAAGTAGGTTACTTGAGAAAGTTAATAGAAACTAATAAATTTAATTTACTTTTTCATTAGTTGCACCTCAAGTATATAATATGTTTTGTTTAGGAAATAATTTCGAACATATAACCAAAACAAGAGTAATGGATAAAAAGTTACCCTAAATCCCTTATCCCTAATAATTTTAGTGACTATAAATGTATTCAAATGTTTCATCATAGTGACTATAAAACTTACATATAATAACTTATAGGAAAAAATTCCACTTTTGGTCCCATGACTATTATGCCACTTCCACATTAATCCTCTGAGTTTCAATTTAACCAAATGTAGTCCTTGACCTTTTCCACATAACAACCCATGCTCCTTCCGACCACAATTCCAGCTAAATTTAACCGGAGACCAATTAACGAACATTTATTGGGGGCATTTTAGTAAATTTAAATTACAAAAACGGCTACCTAATAAACTACTCAATTAAGTTAACTTAATGGTGAGCTAATACCGTCGTCTCCCTCTACCTCAAAAACCGAACTCTCTTCTCCCTCTGAAGAAAGCTTCCGCCAGCTTGAGAAATCCCCAAAACCGTTCGAACAATGAGGACTCGTCTGGACCGCCGGCGTGAAGGAGAAGGAACAATTGCAGAATGGCGTTCTCCAACAAATGCTGGTGATAAAGGTAAGAGGGTGAACTTTTTAAAAGAGTGGAAGAAAATAATGAATATAAGGCTGAACTGAGGTTTATATATACGGTGTTTGCAGTGTTTGCACATGTTAGGGGTTTTATGTTGAGGTTCCCTTTTCCCTTTTCCCTTTTTTCCCTTTATTCCAAAACATGGTAAGGTAGGCATGTGTTTTTATGGCTTAGATTCCCCTAGCCGACTGTCTTTAACCATTTAAGACATGAGACCAGTTCACATTTATCTTTACGCAGGCTGAGACCCATACATGCTTTTTTTTTAGTTTTTTTGAACTAGTAATTATGAAATTCATTTATGGTGTTGTGTTAACCTTGTAAACACATTATTGACCTCATTTATAAAACAAATGCAGCCAACTGTGGAAACACTTTTACTTTGAGGTTGTTTTATGGAGGAAAAGTAAATCACATGGATAAACCTTCATACTTGGGAGGGTCAATCCATTATTTTCATGATGTAGAGGTTGATGAGTTCGGTTTGATTGAGTTGAATAAGAAATTACAAGAACTTGGTTGCACCAAAAAGATAATGACTGTGTATTCCTATTCACATGAGAATGAGTCCCTAAAGCAACTAAATAATGAGGTAGAGGTTTGGGGGATTGTGAATGATGGAAATGTTGGTAAGGTGGTGGAGTTTTGGATAGAATTAGAACCCAGTGGGGACACTGAAGATGATGATGACCCTGAAGATAGTGACTTCAGTGAGAACGACTTAAAACACTTTTCTGGGGATGAGGTTGACTCTGATTTGGAGGACTTCATTTCTAAGGAGGATGATGTGTTGTCTACTCATGGAGGGTTAAACAACAGTAGTGAAGGAGAAGAAAATGTTACTGAAGCTTCAATGGTGGATCCAGATCCTAACTTGTCTGATGATGGTTCCATACACGAATCTGACATTGACTCTGAGAAGTGGACTAAATTCTGTGCCAAGACTGATATGAAAGACCCTACCTTTAGACTGCGTTTGACATTTGGCACCAAACAGGAATTCAAAGAAGCTGTGGAAAATCATGCATTTAAGAATGGTAAAGAGATGAGGTTTGTCAAAAATGATAAGGAACAGGTTGTTGTGGAGTGCAAGCATATAGGCTGCCCATGGAAGATGAATCTTAGAAAGGCAATGAACTCTCATTCTTGGAGAATTTTACAGTACCATGACACACATGAAGGTTGCTCTTGGGTCTATCACAACAAAATGGTGAACTCAAGCAAGGTAGCAAATAGATGGTTCAAGGAGATTGAGGGTCACTCAAATTGGAAAACCAAAGAATTTAGACAGAAAGTATGTACTGAAGAACGCTTCCATTTTAGTCTCAGGCAAGCTTATAAAGCAATAAGGCTAAGAGAAATCTGAAAGGTGAAGAAGAAGATTACATCAAGAAGATATGGTCATATGTGGCTTAAATAAGAAGGACCAATCATGGGAGCACATGTGTTGTGAAATTGAGTGAAAATGTAGAAGTGGATGGACAACAAAGATTTCTGAGGATATATATGTGTTGGGAAGCATGCAGGGAAGGATTAAAACAGTGTAGACCAGTGCTTGGGGTTGATGGGATCCATCTAAAAACAGCTACTGGGGGCCAGCTTTTAGTTGAAATTGGAAT